AACGGTACAAACGTGCCAACCTAGCCAGCCCCCCAAAAAAAGGCAGAAACAGGCCGCCGCGTCTGAACGCGCGCCCGACTTCACGAGCCCTCGAAGCCGCGCCCTGCAAAATGCGACGTGAGAAAATGTGCACTAAATGACAAAAAAAAACAAAAACGAAATGTTGCACAGCGCCTGTCCCATCCAACCGACGTCCGGGCCTCATTTTCCCTGGGGCCAGGGGAACCGACGTCCGGGGCCCTATCCATCCTTTAGTAGTTAGATAGATAACTGTACTTGCGGCACTTTTGAGTCTTGATACAGCAATAACGACCATACGTTGTATTCCAGTGAAGACGGTAGGTACACCATTTCCATTGTTGCACCAGTCCATGTAGGGTAGGATGGCCTGGATCACATTAGGGGATTCCTGCGTGCGTGTTTTTTCAGCATAGTACACCAGAGCCTCTCTTTCCCAACACGGATTTCCCCTGCGCACTAAAAACCAAACCGGTGGGTCGACGTCGTCTTTCTTTTTGGTTGGCACAGCCAGCCATTTTGCTCCGATAGCTCTGTTCAGCCAAAGACTGCAGTGCTTACCAATTTGTCCACTTCCATTGCCTGAGAAAGGTAGTGGCAGTTTAAACCACCAGTACTTTCCCAGGGCTGGAAACGCCCTGTGCGCCAAACAAAAAGCGAGCCTTCTCAGGCCTCCTTTTGGCTGGCGCTGCCAGCCATTTTGCTCCAGAGGCTGAGCCCCGAAAATTGCACCTGCATGCATGCCACATACTTTAGTCTTTGGCTGACCATTCACCACGCAGGGACCATTCACAATGCAGGTGCAAACTGCCCTGCCTGGTGAAGGGGGCACCTAGATGATGGCTCCAATCTACTCATGGGGAGCAGCACGTGCTGTAAAACTGGATCCAGTGTCCCATTTTGAACAAAGGCCACCGAACACGACCTCCTGGGGGTTCACTTACAATCACTGGGAAAGTGATTCTGCAATTTGATGGACTTCAAACCAGCAGTACACCCACACCTTACTGAGCGGCAAGCTTTTCCAAACCGCCAGCGGCGCACTTCCTTCCTTTTTTGGCCGGCGCCGCCAGCCATTGTGGTCCGGTAGGCCGAGCCTCCGAAGCTTGCGTAGGGGACGAGTTGCATTTTCAGCAAGGCTGGGCCAGTGTACTAGCGGTTTAAGAAAAAAAAAGTGAAGCAACAGAAGAAAAGAAGAAGGCAACCTGAGCATCATCAGGCCAGCAGCATTGATTACTTTGGCAAAACCCAGAGGATTGATTGCCTGTATAATGTGCAATACGAGCATGATCAGGCAGTAATTTTGTATCCACACCGCAGACAGGCCTCTTTTTCTTCTTCCCTTGTTTTTCCCTCCTTTGTTGTCCTTCTATCAGTGGTTCCCACGGCTTCGGTTCGCAGCTGACACAGGGGTTCCCATGCCACCGTGTCCTTCACGGCTCAGCCTTCCAAACAGAAAGAGAAGCGGTGGACGAAAAACCAAAACCTTTACCTTTGTGCTCTGTTTCCAAGTGTAGTTCGTCGTTTCCCGACGGGCATTGTCGTTAAAACATCTTTTAAAGAGGAAGTACATAAACAGCCTACTCAGACTCACAAATGTTGCAATGCACATGTGCAAGCAGATGCTCAAACACAAGCCCGTAAGCCTAGGTCCATTCTGACCACGTAATGTTGTCCTGTCAAACATGAACGGGCTAAGAAGTTCACTTTAACCGGCCCCAGTTATGGCTACACCAATGGTTGTGTGTGCTAGTGGATGAGCCATGGACCAGGTAACTTTAAGAAAAAAAGACAAAAAAGCCCGGCAGTCTTCGCTCTAGGATTGTGAAGTCGACTCGATGTAGCGTAGGGACGGTAACTAGGTTTGTTATTTGTTTTGTTCTTTTCGGCTTGTGAGGGTTTTTCTGCCCATGTGTTTTGTTGTTTTCGGATTGTGAGGCTTTTTCTGCCCATGTGGGGGGTTTCTTCAGTAGAAAGGAAGCTCAGAATAGCGGAGCCGCGTTGGTTGCTTTTCCTAGGTTTCTTTGGGCTGATTAGCTGAGCCGGGTTGGTCGCGTTTCCTAAGTCTGATTGGGCTTTGCAGGCTTCTCGTTTAAAAAAGAAAAACAAAAAGATGTATCCACAGGTGACCGGCCTCAGGTAATTCGAGTTTACTATGGACATTCTTGTATTTTATATGTCATGATTACTGCTTATCCAGCTTCATCTTCTTCTTCATCTTTTTCTTTTTCTTTTTTTCCTCCTCCCCCCCCGAGCTTCTGCTATGAGGTATGTTAAGAGTGTTAGGCCTCTTCAAGTATTGTGAAATTGAGAGTCTCAACCCTAACAGGCATTGTAATCGAGTCATTAATGTCCGCTATGATGATTCTGACTGTGAATCCAACCTGAGAATTCTTTTATTGGGTGTCGGTGTGTCCCGACCGGCCACAGCAGGGCCTGAGCAGCCACTTCCACCTCGCCTGATGCTCCCGCACTGCCACGCGTTACATGGCCGCACAACTCACCCCAGCGAGCTACCAGCTTTGACTGGCCCTGGCCATCCTCCTCAGGCCACCGAAAGTGACAGCAAATGTGGGACCTGGTGCTTTCCCTGCTCAAATGATCTGCTCTACCCACCCTCTTAGTTTTACTAGTCCAAATCAGGCAGTTCCATCAATCTTTTTTTTTTTTTTTTTTATATTAAATTTGGACCGTTTCTTGATTTATGCGTGTCATCCTTGCGCAGGGGCCATGCTAATCTTCTTTCTCTGTATCGTTCCAATTTTAACGGATGTCCCGAAGGACAGCAGTTCCATCCATCTTGGCCAACCAATTCTTCCTTTAATGTTTGTCTTATGCAAACTGCCTGATGAAAGTAGGCGCTGGCCACGCCTGCCAGCTCCCGGAGCTCCCCACCCACAAATAAGATGCCGTCTCCATGGCAATGGAGCAGAGTCCTGAACCCCGGGGGCTTGCCTCAAAACCACAGAGCACTCTGATCTCTGGGTCAAACAACGAAAAAAATAAAAATGAAACCTTCCAGCTCCTAAGGCCATACCCCCTATGAACTGTTATATGGAAAAGAAGGTGCCAGTCGACAATCACGAAAAGGCCAATGGCTATATACAGGAAGCACGGGAGATTTATCAAAACCTGCCGGAAACGGACATTCGAGCGCTGTGGAAGAGGGCAAGGGGACTCATCCAGCAGAACCCGGAGAACGCTCGGGAACCAGGAAAAAGCTTCGAGCAAACAGTGCTCTGCGAAGGGAAGTTGGTGACCATCGAAGGGTCCAAGCGCCTATTCCAATGGAAACTGACGACAATGGGGCAAGCGGACCCAACGGGAAAAGTCCCGGCCCTTCCACCGAACAGCTCTCAACAGGCAGGCAGCAAGCAGAGGAGGGTTTAGGGTTTTAAGATGAGGGGCAGGGTTTAGGGTTTACGCAGGAGCATGGAGTAGCGGGGCCCTGGAATAAGCTTTGTACAGTATGGCTTGGGCTTCAATTAGATCAGACAGCCCCCGCGCTGACAGGCCAGTCCGCAGAGTTCACAATAAGCGAAGCCGGGTCGTGCTCCCAGTAAATACATTTCACAACTTCCATTCTATTGTATGAGGGACGCTGGACCTGTTCTCCAGCATGCCTGTAGTACCAGCGTCCTTTCTCTGTTTCTTAAACTTCTTTTCTCAAATTTGATTGGGAATTTTGCCAGGACCCTCCATGCAAAAGTCGTTCGTATTGCAATTTCCTCCTTTTTTTTTGACATTTCTATTTTGAAAATTCGAAATTCTAAAGACGTCAGAAAACAGAATGCCGCTGCAGTAGAAGTTGTAAAACATATATTTTCATTCTCGTTTTTTTTTTTTTTCTTTTTTTTTTTCTTCCGAACTTGGTTTCGCATTTCTTCTCCCCCCCTCCGCCCCCTCCCTTTCCCCCCCAAAAAAAAGGAACCTTTGTTATACAAGCAGGAAAGGGGCCCGGTGCCCCGCATATTCCTGTTTTAGTCCCTCCCGCCATGGAGGCATCACCAGCCGCCCTCGGGGGGAGAGAACACAAAAATGCCAGCAGGCCAGAACTATCCATCTGACAAACCAAAGCACTAAGGGGGTACACACGAGAGATTCTGCCGCATTCCTAACCAAAGCTGCCACCAGGCCCCAACTATACATCCAACCAACCCGAAAGCCGTAGTACTGTATTGATATCATTCTTCTGAACCTCAAACGAGCCAAAGCAACGGGGCTACATACGCAAGAAAGCCACAAGGCCCTGGCTGTCCATCCAACTAACCTAAAAGCCAAAATTTTGTACACAGAGGCAAAACTGCCACAACGCCCCATATCCATCAAACAGATCCAAAAAGCCAAAAATTGTACACAGAGCATTCCACTGATCCCCAAAGCTAAGGCTACTACCGTCTTCACCCGAATAGAACGCCCGGTCATTATCGCTGCACCTGGACTGAAAAGTGCCCCAAATACAGCTATAACAACAGGGCGTTATATTCGGGTGAAGACGGTAGTAGGCCCTTCCTTATCTGGGAGTCAAGACCAACCTGAGCACCGAGAGGAGGAGAGGGCGAAAAAACTGAAACAAGCAAACAGAGGCAAGAGCAGCCTCAAAGCACGAAAAAAGTGAGCAACGTGCAGTTCTGTCAGCCAGCAAGTAATACTGGAAGAGGACAAACATCGCAAAAGAGACATTCAGATGAAAAAAAAGCAGAGAATCTGATTTGGTTTCAAATTTCGACATGGCCGGCTAAAAAAAGTTGTTTCTATTACGGAAAAAAAAAAAAAAAAAGATTTTTGTGTTGAATGCTGCACAACCATTTTTCTTTTTGGAATTTGTGATTTTGTTTGAAAAACCAAAATTCGTTGTATTCAAATACAAGGTTTCAACCGTACATGCTGCCCTCCCCACCCCTGCCCACCCCTCCCCACCCCTCCCCACCCCTCCCCTCCCCTTCCCTCCTCTTCCCCTTAGCAGCTCAGTACTCTATCTTTGATGTGATCAAATCTCTACCTTGACAGCTTGCCATCCGTTACATTTGATCATACCTACCGTGTGGACCGTCCACCCGGTACCAAGCTTAACTTGGAAGAAGAAGTAGCGACGGTGGTGGTGATTATAACAATCCGTAGTAAAAAAAACTGGTATTGTTTAATCATGGAAAGTCACATATCTCAGATTAGCATGGGCCCTGAGAATGGATGACACGCACACATAAATCAAGAAAGGAAAGGGCACATATCCCGAATAGGACAAGGGGTAGGAGTCATGATATCTGGACCTGACTTCCTTGCAACTGCAGAATGGCAACCTTCATTCCTACGCAAAAGGAGCGGAAGTTTTCAACTGCCATGACTGAATATATGGTGAGCAGCTTGCCTTTGAAGGCCAGCATGGTCGGGTAGGAGAAGGACTTGGAGGAGTCGGTCTCTAGGTGGGCGAGAGCATTCCAAGAGTTCCCATCGTTCCTGGAGAGAGAGATGAAAAGAGGAGTCCGCTTAGTGGGGGAGGGGTTGAAAGCGCAAAGGAGGTGGCCATTAGGCAGAGAGAGCAAGTGAACTTTGCTGTCCGGGTTCAGCAAAACAGTCGGAGTAGGGGGGGACCACGTCTGTCCCATGTCCTGCGAAGTACTTTGGTACACCCAATTCTTCTTAGACCGGAAAAACTGCAGCAGAGTGTGGTCTCGCAGCTCCGCCACTGTGTTTTCAATGAGCCACGTCTCTGGTGTCGATAACCGCCCATGAACGCTCCAGGTCAGTCCTTGATCTCCCGAGATGAGAACCCCTCCTGAGCCTTGGGGGTATTCCAAAACAGGAAGGATTCTCTTTGGAGGACAGGTGCGTCCAGGCTCCCTCCAAAATGGAAGAACCCAGGCACCAGTCGACAGCACGCAAATCTTGTTGGCAATGACCTTAGGCATGCCCTCCTCAGCCTCAAAGCTGTATACAGTCTGCGGTGTGGTCCAGGAGAGCCCGGAGTCGTCCGAAGACGCGTACTGCAGGTCGCCTCCAGGGGAGAACCGGGTCACACCGCGTGATCGGTCGTAGTACTTACATCTTCTTGAGCTTCGAGAGAAAAACAGCCACACACGTCCCGATTCGGACAGCACCACTGGACTCCAGAGTGCCACACCATCACCTTTCAGCAGCACCTCCATCTTCGACCACGTCTTTCCGCCATCGCTCGACGTCGTCCAGTAGAGGTTCTGATTGACGCTGCCTTCGTAGTTGCTCTCTGAACCTTGAAACACCGCACAGATCGATCCGTTTGGCAAACTCTCCACCATTCCCATGTGCACGTACGCCAGACTGTCAAGTATGGTGCCGTTTGGATCGCGATTGATCTTGTACGCCCACCTGTAGGCGATGTTACTATGGTCAAACATGACGGTTTTCTTAGTTAACCGGATGTAAAACCAGATCAAGAGCGGTAGAACCCAGAGCAGAGAAGAAGCAAGTCTGCCATTGCGCAGGAGAGGCAGCATGCACTTGGCATGACTGAGGGTTGCACCTCGTAGTATGGTTGACGAGGAGTGTCTGGCACGATCCTTCCTCTCGCCCTCTACGCACGTGGCATTCGAACGCAGTTTCACTCTACCATCTTCAACACATGATGGGGGTGCTACTCCCCCCCCACCCCCAACGATACCTCCTCCTGCCCCGGCTGCTCCTCCTGCCGCCGCCAGTCCTGCTCCCACTGCTGAAGGTGATGGTCGGCAAACACCCATGACTCACCACTGGTTGTGAGGTGGTTGAATTTTGCGACGATGATAATATGCACACCTGGCAGAGGCCATTCCTTCACGAGAGAGATCAAACATACTTGTTGAAATTCTTCCTCGGCTTCCAAGCCCTCTTTCCACTGCCCCTGGGGACAGGGACAGGCTCCTGCTGCTAATGAACCTCACCCATAACCTCCACAGACCCATTAATTGTGTGGCTGTGATGACCAAGTAGATAATAGATCAAACTTAGCCAGATGTTTAGGAATCGATTACCTTTCTAGGTCCGCCTTGGACTACAACTATACCGAATGTTTATTGCTATTGTATTATTAATTATGTTACTGGATAATAACAATAATAATAATGATGGATGTTCTATGTACAGGGAGTCGCCGTAACCCGAACCCCCAATTATTATAGCTGCATTTCGTGCAATGTTCACTCTAGATGCAGCAATAAATACTGGGCATTCTATTCGGGTCTCTACCGTCTTCACCCGAACGCCCAATTATTACAGCTGCATTTTGTGCAATGTTCAGTCTAGATGCAGCAATAATTACTGGGCATTCTATTCGGGCGAAGAACGTATGAACCATTGGCATCCTGCAATGTTTCAGATGTAGATGAGGCTAAAGGAAGTACTACCACACAGACTAAGCAAGGTAAAAAGGGACAGAACACAGGAAAGAAATAAAAAAGAAAAAAACGTTGATCCACATAGACTAAGCGAGGTAAAAAGGGACAGAACACAGGAAAGAGATAAACACAAGAAACGTTTTAACTTCATTCAGGAGTCGAATAGGGGATAGCACCAGCATGCTATACCCTATAGCAAGAGCATTAGTACAATCCTCTCGGCTATGTGATAAGAGAGTGATAGTCCTCTCTGGCGCCAACGTTTTGTGTGGATGAGGTGGCGCCAAATTGTACTAAGGGAGGCTCCTGGGAATTGGGGCTACAGCCTTCGCCCAAACCTGGGGCCAACATTTTGTGTGGTTGAGGTGGCGCCAAATTGTACTGAGGGAGGCTCTTGGGTATTGGGGCTACAGCCTTCGCCCAAATAGAGCGCCCCGTAATTATTGCTGCATCTGCATTGGCATTTGCACCCAATACAGCTATCATGACCGGGCGTTCGTTTGGGTGAAGACGCCTATAACGTGGATGGTAAAGGGGCCGGTATTGTGTCCAGATGCTGAGGATGGACGGATCAAGTGCTCTTTATCAGTGGATAAGGCGACCATCATTGGTGAATAAGACGTACGGTATCGACCAGGTACACATGTTGCAATCAGCTAGGCACTTAAAAATAAAAATAGATACACGGCAAATTGTGTGCGCTGCGTGTGGCCGTCACATGTTTGTGTACACGTACACGTAGCTGCAACACGGTCAGGTCTGAAACATCATCACACCTTCCTCAAAGCAAAGATTCTCTTCCGTTCTCTATCGATCTTGTTCTCTCCTTGCCCCGTTTTGGGGACGAAGTGCTACACAGGTTTTGCAGCGAGGGGGGGATTAATAACTTTTCCCTTTGTTTACGCCCCACAACAGCCTCCCCACGTCCACGTTCGATGTATAGTATCTCCATCGCACATCTAAAGAACAACAATGCCCTTCATTCGTCAAGTCTTCAAGCTATCAACTTGCCTGCCTATAGTTGCAGCAGGTTTGTACTTACATGCTCTGTCAGTATAATAGCCTACTACAATTACATCAAAATAATCCCCTTGTACATACGATCGACAGGTGATAGATGATCACAATACTACTGTAATAGGCGAATAGTCAGTCAGTCAGTCACGCCGATACTAATAGGCTAATAATCGTATGTAATAGTCAGTCAGTCACACCAATACTAATAGGCTACTATAATCGTATGGAATAGTCAGTCAGTCAGTCACACCAATACGAATAGTCACAATGCATTCTCCAAATACTAAGTGTAATAGGCGAATAGTCGGTCAGTCGCACCAATACTCCGTGTAATAGGCAAACAGTCAGTCACAATAGTCAGTGCACTCCAGAAATCATACTTGCAGCGCACGTGGGATGCGCGGTGCGGCCCCGTGCACTGGGCGCCCAAGACCAGCGCGCGCAACCGCCACACTGGTGCGCGCTCCTCAGTGCGTGCCCCGGTGCTCAGGTCGGGGGTACGCCTCCTCCTGATGCGCGCGGCTGTGCGCCTGCTCCAGGCATGTGCGCCCGGTGCCCGCGACTTCTTTTTCTTCTTTTTTATTTGTATTGTCTGCAGGGGTGGGCGCTGCAGTACCACAACTGCTGCCATAAAAAAAGAAACACAAACGAAACTTTGATAATCACTGCTGAACGAGCTGCACCAGCTGCCTTGCCACCATGTCGTCCTGCACATGACACGAAAAAGACCAAGAACGTTGCGCAACGCTGAATCAGCCCTTCCATTCATCAATCCCTCTCGACAACCCTACCCTTCCCCTCTAACGCACTTTTCCGCGGACAATCTGAAAATCCAACGAACAACAACCTCCCAACGAACGAGTGCGAAAAAGAAAACAAAAAAAAAAGCACGAACGGGGAGGGG